TCAATTTCAACATTATTACAAAATTGCTTAATGCATTAACATATCTTTATTAATAAAAAGAATATAAAGTGTAGTCTATGTGAATTACACTTTTACTTAACCACTAATACAGGGGTTTTCTCCATCAATTGTTAGCTGTTATGCATGACCTGCGAAACAACATTACGTTTTTAAGGTTAGGACGATTAAACTCACAGAAAAGGAGCAGATAACCATGTTGGGTTGGCTATAGAGAAATGATTTTTGCATAAATTTTTTTTTAGAATATAACGTGTTATTAAAATAATTAATTTTTTTAATTAATGTAAAATTTATAATATTAAATATATATTTATTTAATAACATATAAAATTATATAAAAAAATAATATAAAAAAATTTTTCCTATAAGACGATATCGTAAGTTATATCCATCAAAATTTGAATCCTAACTAAATACCACTTACGATCATGCCACATCAGATTGGCCCTACAAAGATAAATGATAAAATAAATGAATTAAATTCCGTTCCATGCAACACAATCTACAACGGTCAAAATCCTTATCCCGAAACCTGATCCACTCCCTCCATCTCCCTCCACTCATTCCCTCCCTTTCCTTTCCTCCATTTTCCAACACAAAAAAGGATAAGCCTTTTCATGTAAACAAAACCTAACCCACGTACCCACAACCCCTCTCTTCTCCTTTGTCTCAGGGCTCCAAGAATCCATTTCCACCATGGCTTGCTCAAATCTTACAATGTGGGTGTCCTCAAAAGGGTCTTTTTCCGACCCATCTTCCCTCTCCTTCCGCTCCTCCATCACCCCATATCAGCTTCCTTGTCCCAATTCCGGCACCGGTAACCATTCCAGATCCTCCTCTGTCACCCCGATCCACTGCGGTCTCCGTGAGTTAAAAACTCGTATTGGTTCCGTTAAAAACACCCAGAAGATCACTGAGGCCATGAAGCTTGTGGCCGCCGCGAAAGTCAGGCGAGCACAGGAAGCTGTTCTTAGCGGCAGACCCTTCTATGAAACCCTGGTGGAAGTTCTTTACAACATCAACGAACAGATTCAGGATGAAGACATAGACCTTCCTCTGACAAAGATCAGGCCGGTAAAGAAAGTTGCCCTCGTTGTCGTCACCGGCGAACGAGGTCTCTGCGGTGGGTTCAACAATGCAATCATCAGAAAAGCAGAAGCAAGAATTGAAGAATTGAAGGATCTTGGAGTGGACTACACTCTTGTCAGCGTAGGGAAGAAGGGTAACGCATATTTCCTGCGCAGACCGTATATTCCCGTTGACAGGTACGTCGAGGCCGGTTCCCTGCCGACGGCTAAAGAAGCTCAGGAGATTTCCGACCATGTTTACTCTATGTTTGTTAGCGAAGAAGTCGATAAAGTCGAGCTCTTGTACACAAAGTTCGTCTCTTTAGTGAAATCCGACCCTATTGTTCACACCCTTCTTCCTCTCTCACCAAGGGGAGAAATCTGTGATGTGAACGGAAACTGTGTGGATGCGGCGGAGGATGAATTCTTCCGGCTGACTACCAAGGATGGGAAACTGACCGTGGAGAGAGATGTAGTGAGAATAGAGATCGAGAAATTCTCTCCAATTTTCAAGTTCGAACAGGACCCTGTCGAGATTCTTGATGCTCTGTTGCCTCTGTATCTTAACAGCCAGGTTTTGAAGGCTCTCCAGGAATCCCTGGCAAGTGAGCTTGCTGCTAGGATGAGTGCCATGAGCAACGCAACTGATAATGCGGCCGAGTTGACGAGGAACTTGTCCATTGTCTACAACCGGGAGCGTCAAGCTAAGATCACCGGAGAGATATTGGAGGTGGTCTCCGGCGCCAATGCTTTGACCTGAGTAGGAATTTAGGCTTTGCGTTTGTTTGTACGTATAAATTTTACCTCATGCCTAAATATATATATGTTTCTTGTTAAGAACAATTGGGTGATAAAGATTGTTTTTTGCAATACAATTCTCACTGGGTATCTGCTTTATGCACAATGAGAAGTTCAATCTGAATTAATTCATGCCATTACCATTTCAGGATTGCTGGTGATAATGATACTCTAGATTTCAAGCTTTATGCACATGTTGATTTGTTTTTCAATGTTTTAAACCCATGAACGCTTATCCTGTTTGATGAACAAACCTCTACTTGTTGGCACAATAAATTTGTAATTGAAAGACCATGGAATTAAAACAAACAAACAAGGATTGAATCAGAGAATGAAGATGAAGGAGAACCTGGAAAATGATAAAAAGACAGTCTATGCTATAAGAAATAGTTTTTTCAGCACAACTTAATTCGGATTACAAAATCTAAGCGCCATGATGTTGCAATTGGGGCAAACTATATGCAAAACATTATTCTTTTATGCTATTAAAAAAAAAAAAAAAAACTCAAGGTTTTCTTATTAACCAAAATTTGAACAAAATTTCTTACAATATAACCATTAAAGTTCGGTGTTACTGTTGAAATTGTAAAACAGTTACTAAATAGAAAGATCCGCACCTATTGTCAAAAGAGTTTGTTATTTTACCATTTAAATTATTTAGAATTGTAAAATAAAAATTTTTAAATGAAAAAGCCTTCCATATTAAGCCCCTTTTCTTATAAAAAAAGGTTAGTATTTTACATTATAATTTAAAACCGTCAAAATTGTAAAATATTTTTTCTTTCAAAAAGTCTTTCATTATTGTTTTTAATAAAATAAAAATAAGTTATTCAACTTCTGAGAAGGAAGTGGGAAAGGGTTGCACAGGTTGAAATTGTAGCTATCCAATGAGAAAATCTTTTACTCAATTGACATAAAGCCATTCCTGGAAAGTCCATCATTATTTAATAATTAACTTCTCACAGTTAAGTGTAATCTAAAATGTATAATAATTTTTTTATAAGTATTTAATTTTTTATTTAATAATTAAGATATTTCTAAATTAATTTCTTCCAATA